AAGGAGCTGCAGAAGGCCTAAGGCGCCCCCCTGGGATCCCAGGCTAAGATATTAGAGTAAGTAGTCTCATCCTCCTTGAGTCTTGAGGCCAAGGAAACCTAGGAAAAGCAATAAGCAATGTGGCGGCCAAGGCCGCCCCCTCCTGGCCACATCTGGAGTGGCAGTGCCCGGTGCACAGGGCTGGGTCCCCAGGCACACACCCCGGAACGGGGGTTTGGTCAGACTTTGAACAAAGGCAGGTAGCAGAGGGGCAAGGCTCTTCCAAGACTGAAAGGCCCAAGGTTCCATCTCCCAGGTCCCCTGTCTTTGCTGAGTGGGACATCTTCTGCCCCAAGCTCCACAAGCCCAGCTGCAAGGCAGGAGTGAGGATGGGGAGGAAGGCAGAACTGGAGGCAGTGTGCGGAGGGTGTGCAGTGGAGAGGAGGGTGCGCCACACTGCTGCCTCGGTCTCACTCCTCCCAGGCCCGCCTGTGCCTCCTGGGCAGCCAGAGAAGCCACGGCTGCTACCACTGCCCGGATTTCCACTCCCGCACCCAGGTATTGATTTCCTGCATCATTCATTTGCCGGCCTTGGCTGCTGTGATTAGCTCCCTCCATTCTCCCTATGGAGCCCCCCGCCCGTCCCTCCATGTTCCAGAAAAGCAGAGCTAATACCAGGCTTTAAATGAGGCTTTGCCACCCAGCCCCAGCAGCTCACAGCCAAGCCTGACCAATTACAAGTAGGCCCTTGGTGTGTCCGCAGCCAGCCTCGTCAAGGGTGCTTTCCTGACTAATAAAATCCTCTCTAACCACCCCTGCCACCCCCCAGAATCCCACCAGCCAGGAAGCACAGATTCATAAAATGAAAGACCTTGCAGATCTTGACCCTATGGGGGCTCTTTGCTCTGACTCTAGATTTGGAGAGCCCTCGGGCAGGCCCAGCAGCCAACATCCATTGAGGGGGTATACAGACAATGCTGGTACAGCAAATAAAGCATCCTGGACTGGGGGACACAAGGCCCTCTCCCTCACGCAGTTGCTATAACTGAGAAGGAAGGAAGGACAGAGGCATGGACTTCTTGAGGACATTTAGAAAACCCTAAGCTCTCTGTTAGCCTCTGTAGGGTACCAGAGTTTCCCGATGCGATGCCTTCTCCAGGGGGAGAGTCCAACCTGACAGGCAGTTTCAAGACACAGGGTAGAAACTCCCGTGAAAACCCCAAGAGTGTCCACATCTAGACGAACACCCAGAAGATGGCACTGGGAGACACATTTCCTGAAATTCCTTCTCCGCACTCCTCAGAGCAAGGGAAAAAACCCTGACTTGGTGATAATTCTGTAAGCTATGTTGCTCTTGTCAAATTATTCAACATCTGTCTTCATGTTCCCACAAAAATTAGCATAGGATAGTAGTTTCTGATGACACCTTTGGTGAAATATTTTGACTTCCACCAGTAAGTTGCAAACAACCTGTCTTAAGGATAATGTCAATTCCCACTCCTGAATATTAAATAATCCAGGGATTAGTGTTGTGCTTTTGTAAGGGAGAGGAATGCCTTTCACCTGCCCCTGGCTGGAAGTCCGGCAGCTACGGGAGGAAATGAGGAAGCCAGGGGAGGCAGTTTCTGATGCTATCCTCACAAAGGATACTCCTCCTTCAATGGGCTACTGCCTTTGCCCAGAACCAGGCCTCTAGGGCCAGCCCACCACCCTGGGCTGCCAGAAAGCCATTTATAAGATCCACCCAGGAGATTGGGAGGCGAAGAGGAAAGAGGGAACCAGCTCCAAATGGACCATCTGGTCTAGTACTCGGCTGTTGTAGCATCTGTGCCCCAAAGAAAAGCGAAGCCACCTGGCCAGGCTGAGAGTCTTCCCCAGTCCTATTGCAGACAGCTCAGCTCAGAGCCGGCAAGAGGGCCCTCAGAGGGAAGCCTGGCATAGGGCTCCCGGCCACTGCCTTCTACCAGCCTCAGCAGAGACTCTCACAGCTCAGGGCAGACTCTGATGGGTCTGCCCTCCACATCCTGCTCTTCCCGCTTCAATTCAGCTTCCAGGTTTACTAATCTGCCCCTCCCTCAGCCACACTGTTCTGGGGCAGGGGGAGAAGAGGCTGAGGGTTCCCTCTCTAGGGCACACTCTTATGCTTCTTTGTGTGTGTGTGTGTGTGTGTGTGTGTGTGTGTGTGTGTGTTTTGAGTAAAAACTGCCTCCATCCTCACTGCCAGGACAGCACTGGGCTCCCAGCCTCTTCTCTCTTCTCCCTTAGGTCCCCTACAGCTGCCGACCTAAGACTCCATGATGCACCCAAACCAAAGACCCTCAAAGAATGCCAAACTACCCTGCTGCAAACCATCTTAGACAGACTTCTTGGAAAGAAAGAATTTGAAGAATCATTTCTTCAAACTCCCCCTAAACCATGGCCCTATATTTTTGCAACAAATATTTGCTGAGCTCCTGCTAGGTACAGGCGCCATGCTGGGTGCTAGTATATAGTGAGGACACTAGTGACCATTTCACCCCACATTCTACTCTTTCTCAAGCTGCTTCACCTGCTTTGGGGATAGAGGGAAAGTGGGGGAGGGAGCAGAAAGCCAGCTCTCTGCATTATTCCTTACCCTAGACCCAGCCCTACACTGGTTCTTCCTTCTGCTGTATCTGGTCAAAGCTTCTAGCATCACAATGAACTCAGTAGGCTCTTGCCATCCTCCTCCTCATACTAGATCTTTTTGCTCTCTCTCCATCCACCTCCATAAAGACGTTCTACCCAGCAAACCCCCTGACTCCCCAGTCATCTCTGGAGCCACACTCTCAAAGGGCAGTTGGAAAGAATGCTACCCAAGAGCCCAAGGTTGGCCCCAGTGCACACGACCCACCTTACTTACTCTGAGTGAGAGCAGCATGGACCCAGGCACATGGAAAGGAGGAAATATCAGCCAGTATGGCTGAGTGGATTGAGCTGTGGCCTGGGAACCAAAAGGTCACCAGTTCGGCCAGGTCCTCAGTTGGGAGCATGCAAGAGGCAACAGAGCGATGTTTTTCTCACACATCAGTGTTTCACTCTCTCCTTCTCTCCCTTCCTTCCTCTCTCTCTAAAAATAAATAAATAAAATCTTTGTAAAAGTACTCTGAAATCAGGGTCTGCAGAGACCATTGCACTTATCTCCCACTCCTTGCCCTCACTGATGGGTTTTCCAGGCTAGACTCAGGGGTGCTTCCTTGAGATGGGCCCCCATGCAGCCCTGGAGAAGGCTGGAGAAGGTGGAGGAGGGAGTGGAGAAGAAGGATGGCCAGGAGATGGGCTTGCCAGATCCACCCAAGAGCACTCAGAGGGAGGACAAGGCGGAGGACCCCAGCAAACAGAAGGGCTCTCAGTCACTCGCCAGAGCCTAGTGGGGTGTGATGAGAAAGAAGTAAAGGCCTGATGGATGTCCCTCTTAGGCTGCCTCTTAAGGAGAGAGTGAGGCTGTAGGGAAATCTTGGGCGGGGGGGGGAGGAAAAGGGCACTCCCCACCCTACCCCCCATCCCTGATGTCTTCCCTTACACTGGGGAGGCTGAGGCCTCTGGAACCAGTTCAGTAGCCTCCTGCCAATAAGCCAGCCTCTCTTCAGTCCCTGCTACATTCTTCCTCCTTTCCTTTTCTGGCCCATCTGAAGGGCCAGGCAGTAAAAGACACACAAACTAATTAAGAAGCAGAGTTTGGCCAGATGCCTGGGCCAGCCTCCTCAGGGAATTAAGCCCAAGCCAGCCAGCAAGTCACCTTCCAGAAACCCCTCAGGGCACCCCTCCCTCTTGTGAGGTACCCCCAGAAGGAAGCATTTCGAATCTGCACCTGAGGCTGGCAGCCAAAACAGTGAGAGGAGGGACAAATCCTCTGACCCTCACCAACAGGACAGGCAAACTCTCCCCTGATCTGAAGGCAAGTAAGTAGGCCCTCAAGCTCAGAGAAAGAAAGAGAATCCGTCCCACTCCAGCTACACATCATTAAAAAGTGGCCTACACATCACTAAAAAGTGGCCTACACAGACCACCCAGCAGTCAGAAGGCAAAGTACGGGCCACTGGGCCCAGAGACTGACTTTTTGTGTTGTGGGGTCGGGGCATTTCGGGCAATAGAACTCGGAGGAAGGGTCCCTGAGAAGGCTGATGCCTGCTCTCCGGGCCTTTCCCAGGGAAAACACACGGGAGAAAAAGGAGAAGGGGTAACTGGAGTCCCCTTGGAGCCCTGGAGTGAGGCGTGGGGATGCGGGAGCAAAGCTGCGGGGCAGGAGGCAGAGTTTGGACATGTAGCGGCTGGGTGCGTGACGAATATGCGTTTCCTGGGGACGGTAGCTGAGTGTGTGTGTGTGTGTGTGTGTGTGTGTGTGTGTGTGTGTGTGTACACGGAGAAGGAAGGTGGGGCTGGGTTTTCGTAGATGGATACCGGGAGCAGGAAGAACTGGCTCGGGAGAAGTCCGAAAAGGGATGATGGGGTTTTCGGCGCCGGATCCAGGGGATATGGCATCCACCCGAGCTGTCAAGAAGCGAGTAAAAGAAGCGAAGCCTCCCCGATATCCGGGAAGGCAGCCTGCGGCTCGGCGGCTGTGCCAGCAGTCAGCTCTCCCGCAAGCCGCACGCAACTCCGGGTTGCGCATCGCTCAGCTTCCACTCCGGAGGCCAAACCAGGGTAGAACCAGGTTTCGGTTCAAGTGTCTGCCCCAGCCCCCGGGCTGGGGTCTGTCGGGATCTCGGAAGCCGACTGGGTGCTCTCCAGGGTTATGAGTCCCTCCCGCCCCTGACAGGGTTTGAGAAAGCGGGTACCTCCCCCTGGCATCGCCAGCTTCACGCCAGACCCTAGCCCGGTCTCCACGCTCCAAAGCAGCTAGCTCGATCTCCTTGAGCCCGGGAAAAAGGGCGGGGATCCCGGAAACCACTCCAGAGTGCGAGCCGGGGTCCCCCACCAAACCCCGGCGGCGCGCACTTTGCGCTTCTTGCAAAGTTTCCGCTCGGTGCTAAGCCAGCGTGCAGCGGGACTCGGGCTCTTACCGTAGACTCCTTGTCCTCGGCAGTGGAAGGGGATCAGCGTCAGAAGTAGAAGGCAGGTCACCTCCATGTTCACGACCGGTGCTTCATCCCCGCGAGGCGGCGCAGCCAGAGAGGCGGCGGGGGGCGCATCCGCCGGGGCTCCGCGATGCCCCCTGCCTCTTTCCCTTCTTCGAGAGGCCACGGAGGGAGCGGCTGCGGCGACGGAAACCAGGAAACTGAGGCGGCGGCGGCGGCGGCTACCCGGGTTTCTCCTCCAGCGGGGCCGCTGCCCGGGTGAGAATACAGGGGGCGCTGGCCCGGCCCCGGGTGCCTCCGCGCGCCCGGCGCAGCGACCTGCGCCCAGGCGGGAGGAGCGCGGCCGCCGAGTCTTCCGGAGTCCCCAGGGCTTTCCCCTCAGGGTACTGGGCGCCAGACACCCACTGCGTCGTCTGCGGCGCTTCGATCCAACAGGCCAGGGACCGCTGATAAACTTGTTTTTTCCACCCAGGGGACGCCCCTCCGCTGAGCCGGGCGGGGAGGCCGAGTCTCCGCGCGGGTTAGTCCGCGGTCTCCAGTCCTTCGGCGTGTGCTCTGGGCTCAAGGGCCCGATCCAAAGGGGGCGAGCTGGGCTCCCTCCTGGGGGGCCCAGCCCTGGCTCTCCCGGGCGGAGGAGCAGCGTGGGCTGGGCTCGGCCACGAAGAGAGAGCCGCGGGGCCCCGGGTCCACGAAGTTGGCTGAACCGCCAAGGAACCCCGGGGAGGAGTCGCGCCTGGTCGCCCCACGGGAACCTGGAGAGCAATTCCGATGAAGAAAGACCCCAGAAAGAGGGGAAAGGAGGAAAGTTTGAGTCGTTTGAAAAATACTCGCGCTCTCGCCGAGGCCGGAGCTGCAGCGCCGGCGCCTCTCGCCGCCTCCGCTCGCCGCGCTCCGCTCCCGCGGTCCGGCGGCGGCAGTGATGCTCCCGGGATCCGCGCTCTCCGGGGAGCGGGTCTGCGCCGTGCCCCAAGTTGATCGTCCCCGCCCCCGCCCGGCGGCCTCTGCCGGCGGGGGCCCACTGCGGGCGGGGTCAGGCCGGGCTCCCGGGCGCGGCGGCCGCTGGGCTCCCCGCCGCGGGAGCTCTCCGCACGTTCCGCAACTTGGGCTTCACTGTGCTGCTTTTTCCCCACTCCGAGCTTTTCATTCTGCGCCTCCCCCTCCTCCTTCCTTCCCTCCTCCCTTCTCCTCGCGTCTCCGCGTTCGGGCTCTCGCTCTCCCACCCTTTGTCGCTCGCTCTCCTGTTTGATTCCCCTCCAGTTAAAGAAAAAAAAAAAAAAAAGGAGCCAATTAAAGGCAGCCCTGCTCGCCCGGTCCAGCCTCTGTCCAATTTCCTCGCCTCCCCCAGGACCAATTAGAGAAAACAAAACAGGGATGGGGGAAGCAGACTGCCTGCTCGCTCGCTCGCTCTCCCCCTCTACGCCCCCCTCTCTGCCCCTCCTCCATCTCTCCCTCTCTCTGCCCCCCGCCCCCCGCCCGCACCCCCGGCGGGAAAATGTCAGAAAGCAGAAATGGATCCATCTATCCCGAGGACAGTGGCGGAGGGACGTGGGTTTCGGCGCGGGCTCCGTAGCCGCGCGCTCGCACACTCGCTCTGCACCCGCCCTTGCAAACCCAGACCGGCTGCCCGAGCCGAGTGCACCGATCCCAGTGCGCTCGCAGGGCAAAAACAGCCGCTCCCCCCGGGGACCCAAGCCAACGGGGCGCCGCACACTTTGTAAAGGTTTTGCACTTTTGGGAGCGAGACTGAAGCGGGGGTCGGAGGCGAAGGCCGGGGCGCCCGCGGTTTCCCTGGCGCGCGAGCCGGCTTGCTGCTGTCGTCTGCAGGGCTGTGCGTGCAGCCCCGGAGTTCCTCCGCCCCGGCCGAGCCCCCGCCCCTTCCCAGGCTGCTACAGCCTCTCCCGGCGTAGGGCGTGGGGGCCACCGCCTGGCCGCAGGCTGAGCCGCTGGCTGAGAGGGCATGCTTAGAGCTTCTGCCTTTGCCGCGGCCCACAGGTTGCCAACAGGTTTGTCCGCAGAGCCCCAATGCTAGAGCTAGCTCGGGCCATCCCCATGATCCTCAGCTCGCCCCTTTCGCCATCCAGCCTCCCCTCAGTACCTCAGGCGTCCCCAACCGCCCCAGGGGCGCACTCCCTTCCGGCAGCTGAGCTCGGGGCCCGCTCCAGTTGCTGGGGTCTGGCACTCCGGGACTCCGCTACTTCAACCGGGCCCTCCTGGAGCAGGGGCGGGGAGAGCGCTCCCCTCAAACGCCAGCGCGGAGGAGTGTGGACTGGGAATCGAGGTGGGAGGCCACCCCCTGGTCTCCGACCGTGTCCACCTACCGGGGTTCTGCTAATCTCACCTGCTCCACCTGTCGCCGTTATTTATCTCGGTCTGTGCGCAGGTATTGTATTAGGGCGACGGGTGGGATCGCCGGCAACCGCAGCAGCTACCAAGCGTGAAGATTATCAGCCTTCGACCCCCAACCCCCGGAACCCTCAGTGTCTTGGCTGTGATACTGGTTCCACGACTGTGCATTTGTCAAAACTCAAGGAACTGTACACCAAAAAATTGTTATTTTCGTATGTAAATTAAAACACAAATTTTTAAAAATAGTAGTAATTACCACTCGTTCCCCAGGCCCATTTCCTGCCGGACCCCTTCCCCCTTGACCGTCCAGGGGCTCACTCCGACAAAAGTACGTGCCCCCAACTGCGGAGGCAGGAGTAGGAGGTGTTGGACGAAATTCCAGGCGGCATTGGAGGGGTGCCATCAGCACCCCTGAAACCTAAGCTCCCCTTCTGTCCATGTCGGGAAGTCCGAAAACATCTGAAGAATCCTATTCTCCGTTGCGGGAGGTGCAATTAAGTGCAATCACCTCCACCTAATTGCACCTCCCTCATCCCCTCCCCCCTTTTCTCTCGCCTCACTTTCCTGTGAGTCCGAGGCTGGGTAAGGGGACCCATACCCATCAGATGCCAGCTGAAGATTTATTAAATGAATGAATGAGTGATGCCCATCAGAGGCCGGATACCACTAACCTAGAATACCCTTTGTACTCCCCACCCCTCAGCCACTATCGGACAGAAAAATCCATTTTCTGCCTCCGCAGAGATACAGGGGTATACAGCCTCTTCGAGCCCACCTCCCCCACCCAGTCTGAAAAGGAAGTGGGACCCACTAAAGGTGCAATGATGAGTAGCTTCTTTTATTGTCATCTTCTTCCTATATTTAAAAATTCCTAGAAATGCTCACCTTTTTCGGGAAGCTTTCAGGGAGCCATCACGGTGATTGCCGCCCTCCTTGGCTTTGCCCATTCTGAGTTGAATGAGCTGTTACCCAAGTCACAGGAAACTGCTTTACTGTTTCCCAATTAGCTAGTCCAACCCCAACAGCAGTTAATTGTTCTTCTGTGCCTTTGGGGTGCATGGGAGGGGACAGGGAACCCCACTGACTCAGCTGACATTCTCTTGAGTTTGTTATCTCAGAGCACCTACACTGGCCTGGAGGAGAAAGAAGACCCTGATGAGGAGGCACTGGGAAGAGGGGAGAGCTGAAGGCCAAATTGCAGCCAAGCTGGGATTGAACATTTGCTGTAGCTAATCCACTTGTGAATATGCTGCAGCTAATTGTATGCAGTGTAAATACCTTGACAGCCTGTTTGCTGTGTCTGTAAATTCAGTCATCTCATCCCCCGAGTGTGCCCCGCCTGCTGCTTCTGCGCCAGAGCCCTCTGTCTGACACTGCGAGGCAACGAGGAGAAGGAAAAGAACAGTAGCCTTGGGAGCCATCAGTCCTGCCCGCCAGTCCTAACCTCTCTAGGCCTCAGTTTCCCCAGCTGCAAAGTTGGTAGGATCCCAACTTCTCAGAGTGGTTGGGAGATGTAATAATAGCTGACACCACATGCCAGGCACTATTCTAAGCCCTTTATGTGTATTAAGTATTTAATCCTCATTACAACTATGTGAGATAGGGCTGTTATTCTGAGAATAACAAGGATTTAGTGACTCCTGCAGCTGCCAAAGGCCTCACTGGGCTTTGACCTAGGCAGCTTGGCTCTGCGACCTTGCTCTTTCCCGCTGTTCTCTGCTAAAGAGACGTAAGGGCTTATGTGCCTAGTAAGTGTTATTTACAAGAAATGTTTTCTGTTCTCTTCACACACAGAGGACAACTGTCTGAACCCTAGATTGGGCCGTTGGGGGTTGGGGGACGGCGGGCACAGAGAGCTAGACCACTGGACCTGAGCACGCTGAGGTCTGAGGCCTGGAGGCTCAGTGGTCAGCACCCAACTGCTGGTTCTTGCGCTGCACCGGAGATGCTCCAAGAAAAATCCCATTATTTTTCCTAGAGAAAGTACAGCCCTTGGGCTCCAAGAAGGCTCCGGAACTAGCTGCTGACTGAGGGGGATGGGGAGTGTGACAGGCCGCAGAACCAGGAGCCCGACCTTGGTGCAGCAGGGCAGCTGGGGGCTTTTGTTGTGAGAGTGTGTTGCTAGAAAGCTCCCCCATCTCCTCCGCCTCTTGCTCGCTCACCCCCAGCAAGTCAGGGCCTGGAAGAGGGAGGGAGGAAGAAAGGAAGAGTCTTTCAGGGGATGTTGTCTTCGCCTTGCAAGGGAAATTGTCTCTGAAAATCATACAGTGGCAAGTATCGATTCAATCTGAGGGCAAGACACCTTCCGGTCAGGTGCGGGGGGAAAGCTGGCTGGGAGGGGATGAGCAATGGGGAGAGTTATGACCCTGCTGAAAGACTGGTTTATTAAATCGGGGTCTAACAAATAGCCAATTAATTCTTCCAGCTGGTAATTAGTAAGCAGTTAACTCCTGTTATAAATTGTGCTGCTGCTCAAGACTAGTGATAATGCAATCCATGATGACACCTTTGGGGAGGAGGGGTCTCAAAGACTTTTGTGGCCTAGGGTCTGTAGCCTGCCCCCCCCCATACCCTCAGCAGGCCCTCCCCCAGTGGAGTGCTGGCTCTAGGAGAGCAAGGATCCTGTCTGTATGTTCACCATCCATTCATTTAACAAATGTTTAATGGGTTCCTACTACATGCCAGGCACTACCCTAGGCACTGCAGGTTCAATGTGAGCAAAACAGACAAGAACCCCTGCCTTTTTGGCAGTTATGTTCTAGTGAAGAGAAAAACAATAGACTAAATAAGGAAAATAAACAGTATTTAGATGGTAAAGACAATATTAAAGCTAAGAGGAGGAGCAGAAAATGTGAGGGCTGAAATGTTAGGAAGGGAGACCAGAGAAGATCCCTCTGGCATCCAAGTACTGGCGTTGAAAAAAAAAGAGGGAGCAGACAGTGTTGGTATCTGGGGGAAGAGCACTGCAGGGAGGAGGGCAGCAAGTGCAAAGGCCCTGCCATGGTGAGGGGCTATGGCTGCACCTGGGTAGGTGAGAGGAAGTAGTAGAAGCTGAGATCAGCGGTTAAGGGGGCAGGTCATTTGGGTCCTCGAGTCATTGCAGGGTCTTGGGCGTTACCTGGAGTGAAATGGGAACTATGGCAGGGTGTGAACAAGAGGAGGGACAGGATCTGACTATCATTTAGCAAGCTCTGGGTCTGTGTGAGGAATTGATTGAAGGGGTGCTATAGTATCCCTGACACCTGGCACTCAGTGGGTGCTCAATAAATGCTTACCACGTGGATGTTGTTGGGGCTACATTGTAAGTCTGGGAACCATGCTCACTTTGAAAGGCCAATCTATTTGGATTTTCTTTTCAATTATTTTACAACTGTCACCAAAGGTGCCCTCAGCTTTGAATTTTCCAAGGAACTCCACACCCACTATCCTACTTGGTCCTTAAAATGTCCCTGTGAGGTAAGTTAAGACAGGTGGCTACCCCCATTTACAGATGTGAAAACTGAGGCAAAGAGACATTCACTGACTGGCTTAACAGTGAGTTCCTGAAAATACCAGTCCTAGAATGATGGGGGTGGGGGGTACAAAAGATACAGAAGTCCCTCCCACTTTCTGGCCACTTTGTCACAGTTGCACCCTGCCTCACTGTGTGATCTTTCCTCTCTGCTCTCCAGGTTCTCATTTCCACAAAGAGCAGATGTGCCCGGACTGGTTCTGAGATCCCCCGGCCCAGACTCCAAAGCCTTGCAAGCTGTGTCTGAGACCTGA